TCTTCATCATCGCTTGAGTCCGGCTCGAAGCTGGATGACGTCGGTGTGACCTCGTCAGTTCTTTTCAGGAGTAGCTCAATGACCTCCCCGTCCAGAACACGGATCCTGACTCCATCCCGACAGCGTCGCCCTCCCTTGACAATCAAGGAGTAGCCCTCAACGTAGGGGATTTGGAGTCCCTAGGCGTATGCTCTTGGGTTCATGAAGTCCCCAGGCAGTGCCACCCATTGCGGCCAAAGGCCAAGGGGTCTGGTGTCGAGGAACACAACCTTCGTGCTGTCCCTGGGGTAGCGTCCTGCGCTGAGCACCGCTATGATGGAGTGTACTCTTTTCCCCCTGGCATACATCCGCATTGGTCTCTGGGTGGGGGCTCTGAGCCACACCTCTCCTTGGCGGGTGCCGAAAGCATGGTCCGCCAGTCGCTGTGGGTCCGGGGCTATAGTCCTATCCAGCTGGTGGAGAAATGTTTGTTCTTCTCCTTGGAATTCAATGCGGCGGCCCGGTAGGTGTTGCGGGTGGTCAACTTCCGGCCGCCACCTAGCAGGGTCATCCAATCTGGTGTCCAGCTCCGTGGCCCATTCTGGTACTTCTCCTTGTCGATGGAAAAGGATGAGTCCACCCTGACTTGGCGGTTCCCTCTGTTCATCATTCATCGGCTGCAGTGAGCCAAACAGGAAGACAGAGATGCCATCGTCCATCCCTACCCCAACCTTTTGGAGAAGGGCTCGTCTAGTGAGGGGGCCTTCAAAGTAGGCCGCGAAGATTCCAGATCCCACACGCCTGCCATCTAAAACCACTGCGGTCTTGCCAGACATTCTGACCCATGCCGGGATCATCATCACCGAGCCATATGCCTCGTCCGGTTGGGGGGTGATGGCCACCGGGTGGTCCAGCAAGTCGGTTGGCATGTCGATCGCTGAGTTCTGAATGGCCTCGTAGATATTGTTGAGAGTGAGGGGGAAACTCATCGCCACATCCAGCGACATGGACTCATAGTACGGCGCACAGATCCAGAAAGAGATGTGCGTTGTGGCAGGCTCCTCTCTGTTGATCCAATGCTCATGTGGCTGGAGCTGCTGGATCTGTGGAGGAGGTGCTTCTGGTATGGGCACTGTGAAATCCGGTGGCGGCGCCACTTCACTGTTGTGCCCCAACGGCATGGACGCCACATGCCTTTCAAAAGCATCTGCTAGCTGCTCTCTCATCGTCGCTTGCCCACTCATCCACAGCTCCAGATCTGTGGGGAGTGGGATTCCCGTTTTACTGCACTTTGCTTTGCCGACATCGCCGAAACCAGCCTGGGCCCCGTTGATTACCGACGCAAAGAGGATGACGCGGATCCATGTTGGGCGGGTCCTGCCGTATATTCCATACGGGTGCCTTTTCCGGCTGTAGCTCGGCAAAAGCAGCATTAGTGCGACTAGCTGAGCCAACACCATTGAAAGAGTAAATGATGTTGCTGTTGCGGCAGCTGCTTCAGTCATTCTCCATGCTCTTGACAGCATCCACGTCTTGACAATGTCGTGGACGTCCATGATGTCAAAGATATTCACATCCGCTCCCTCGGGGACGTGGCCTCCCGCAGGGCCGTGCCCGAACAGATGCCCTTCCTTTGCCTGGATCTTAGCCATAACATTGTCTGGCATGTCACTGGCCTCAACGTCCAGGATGGATGTCTGCTTACCGCCTCGCAATTGTATCGCCACACATGAGGTCGGTTCCTTCTGTGAGTTGTAATCCAAGAGGGTACGGTCGTCCTCCAACTGCTTGCCAACGAAGATCATGCGCTGCTGGTCAGACGGGGTGCCTTCCTTGACCTGGATCTTAGCCTTGACATTGCCTGTGGTGTCACTGGCCTCAACATCCAGGGTGATCGTTTTGCCCGTAAAGGTCTTGACGAAGCTCTGCATGCCTCCTTGCAAACGCTGCACCAAGTGAAGCGTTGATTCCTTCTGGTTTCTGTAATCCGAAAGGGTAATACCGTCCTCCAACTGCTTTCC